GGAGGCATGTACGAAGTTGATCAAATGTCGGCCATGGCTGCTAAGGTCGATAGCATGATGAGCATGATCCAAAAGATTGCTCAAGTCTCTGCTGTGCAAAACACTACGCCAGCACCGCCTCCTGTTCCTGTTCTCATGTGTGTATCCTGTGGTGGACAACATGATCAATCTTCATGTCCATGGGATGCAATGGAGCAAGCTGATAATGTCAATTACTACCGGCCGCAGCAACAACAAAATCCATTTGGTGGATTTAATTCTCAAAACAGAAATCATCCTGGTTTCTCTTGGAGTAATCCTAGTGGAGCTGCCAATCCACAAGCTTATCGGAGTTCACCACCCGGCTTTCAAAATCAACAGCAACAACAATTTAGAGGTGGCCAAAGTTTTGCTAACAATCAACAGTTTAAGCAAAACCAAAGCTTCCCCTATGTTTCTAACAACAAAAGCCGATCCTACCAACTCCTGAAACAACATCAGCTCCCGGCTTGGATAACATTGTTGATCAGCTACTCAAATCTCAACTAGCCCAAGCCGAAACCTTGAAGAAGATTTCTGAAGAGCTTACTCAACTTCGAGCTCACAATAGGATGCTTGAAAATCAAATCTCTAGTCAAACATCAACATCCTCAACAAAGGTGACCGGAAAGTTGCCAGCTTGTCCCGAAAATCCAAGAGAGCAAATGAATTCTATCACTACTCGGAGTGGGAAACAACTTCAATCTCCATCTCTTCCGAGTAGTGAGCCCGATGAAGAGATAAGTGAGGATGCAAAAGAAGAACCTCAAAACAAAGTCAAAGGAGATGCTACTGAAATGCTTCCAGAGTCAATTCAGATCAAAGAAGGAAAGAAGAAAGAAGATGAAGGTTTGGTAAGGAAATATGCTCCACCAATTCCTTTTCCAAACCGACTCAAGAAATCACATATTGAGGAACGAAGAACCAAGTTCTTGAACCGTATCAAGCAATTGGATATCTCTATTCCTTTGCTTGATGCTATCACTGAAATTCCTTCATATGCCA